ACAACAAGGTCAGTGTTGCACGTGAACTTCTCGTGATTTACAATGCCATTGCCTCTGATGGACTCAGCATATATATTTTTTTCAATATTTTATCTGATCTAAGTCTGAAGTCTTATATGTAATTGTTTACACACAAACACATAAATATATAATATATAACATATCTGTTCTTGATGCTTGTATTTTAAGCAACTTGAATTCCTTAATTTCGGCATGCAAGTTCTGATGTGCTTCCATACCACTTTCCCTGCAAATTCAAAGGGAAAATACTAATGGAGCTAATTAGCTAGCATTAGCATTATGCCTTGTATGCATGGAATTTACATGCATGTGAAAAACATCTGTGTTTTCTGTGAAAAACATCGAGCGGCAAACTACAGTTGTATTCTTACATGCAGATATCTGCAGATATCGGATTTTGGGTTTTGGCAGGGTTTGCTTAGAAGGAAGCTAATTTTCTTGAAGGATTAATTAGCCACGTTCTTGAATTACGCGTCGATTACAGCCCTTAAGTGCAGTACTAACAGTAGTTTTCCTAATTAATCAATTATTATGTTTCGCACTTTGCATGCTCGTTGACTACGTAGCCAGCATGGCAGTTGGCAGCATGGCAGCATGACATATATATATCAGACCCAGCCAGCGTGGCAGCATGGTATGATCATGGGGTCATTGATCATGAGCAGTGCTGGTTTATGATAAATATATGATAGAATTGCCTACTTTATCAACGTTGAACGAAATGCATGGGGTCCAAAGAGGAGGATCTGAATGTTTAGATCTAATTATTCATCATAGCCTGAATGTTTAAATCCAATTATTCATCATATAGTATGGACCACAATCGCTTTTGTTTGATTGTTTACTTGAATGCTATAGTTTATTTGAGAAAGAAAAACTTACAAACGACCATAGGAGAATTACAAAATCATATACAAAGATTAGAAATATCGTATCTACAGTTTGTCAAAGCGTCGGCGACAAATTTTGCTTTTCGGTTAACATATTGAATTTCTCAAACATTAATTGAAAGCTCTCAAAAGGGAACAAATATTTGTCATGACAGAGTAAAATCTCCACGGAGGTTGGTTGATGATGGCCTTCAAGCAAATCAATAATCAATTTAGAAGACAAAGATTAAATAACCCAAGACATTTAGCCCACAGTCCTCAAGTTTAACCTCATAAATCACTTAGAATTCGCGAATGCTTCAACGTTATTCTTTTTATCGAGTTGTACAATCTTAATTACATTAATCTATAAGCTTTCACAGGAATCGCAACTTAGGAGCCCAAGGTGCAAACGGGCCAGCTGGGTTTGGGTCACCAGGTTTTGCCGTCGGTGGAAGGGTGAGATGGGTTCGCTTAAACTCTATTCCGCTAAACTCGCTGCGTTACAGATTCATACACTCTCCACTTGGGCACACTGCTCTAGTCAACTGGCTACACATATTTTTCTCTCTTTTTTGTGTTCTAGTAGAAAGGCTGGGAATGCTTGCTTGCAGTTGAAGTCATGGAGGACTCTGCACATGCACAAAGAAAGTCCTTGCAAGTGTGCTCGTAAAGAACACAAACCACTGTTCAAGGTATAAATATGTCTCGATTAGATTCCAGGTAATTCACAAACTCGAATCAATCCTCTCTGGGGATCCACCTGCTCCACCTGAGACGCCTCCGACGGCTGTTAATCTCATCCATGCTCCCATTCAACGTCTTTATCATCTTCCTCTGCAGCCAAAGAGCAGAAGCCAGAGCATTCCTTCGAGCCTTCTTCTTACTCTTAGGCTCCATTTCCTGCACATTATACACAAACCACGGACTGAGCCAACAGTCCTTCCTTGTCAAAGTAGGGATATGCAGGTAAGGCTGTTTTCGCACTGATTCTTTGTCTCGCTTTGCACCTCAGGTTGAAGTGGACTTCTGTGTATATGGGCTGGGAGAGAAGAAATATTTGGTTGGCCTGGATAAAAACTTGGGCCTACAAAATCCATGATTGCTTGGGTGTGTCATACTTCATTTCAAGTTGAGTCTCACTTAAAGAGTTAAGATTCATGGCAACTTGGGGAGGGGAAGAAGAAAGAGTTTGGATTTTTGTTTTTCTTTAATTTAAAAAAATATTAAACTCTTTATTAATATTATTTTGTATACATGGCAATGACATGGAATCATATGAGCAGTAAGTGAGGGATTCGGATCCCAGGATTCAAATTGTGGGAAACCTAGGGATCCTCACATCCGAATCGTATATCGTATATCGTACATCGTGCAGTCAGAAATCATTTTGAATTTTTTATTTAAAATTAAATACAAATAGTACTTAACGAAAACTGATCGCACAACGTACGATGAACAGCCATGATGTGAGGATCCCCACAAAGAGGATCCGGGGAGAATCCTCATCCTTTAGTGAGCTTTGATCATGCCAGGTTAAATATTTGACATTTTTTTTTTTTAACAAAAGTGACGCAAAATGGAAAAAAAGACATAAATATTGAGTTTTTGGGGATAAAATAGCGTAAATTTAATTTAAGAGGACAATGTGAGATCAAAGTAAAGTTTCAAGTGACATGGCAAAAAATAAGTCCTTTTTTTAAATAAAAAAATGCGTCGTGTGTTAGTAATTGCATGATATTCCAAGAATGAGGATAATACTCATAACTTGCATAGCATTTTTAGCAATCCTCTTCCGCTGAGGGATCTAAAGCTAATTTGGGGAATCGATTATAGGACTCACTCCACATCGTATTTCAACGATTTAACTATTCATCTTTTAGGTTTTCCCTTAAAGATAATTTCTACAAAAAAATCACTTAAATCAACCATTTAAATTTTGGACTAAAAGGTAATTGTATTATTGTTTCTTTGAAAAATCATATTTTTTTATTTTGCTTCACTACACTGATGTTTTCATGGTTATGAATTTATCTAATTTTTACAAGAATGATATATGAACGATGTATTAAAATATAAATTGTTTAAATCGTTGAAAAAAGTTACGGAATCAGAACAACAATGTATCCCTCAAATAAAATTATTTCAGGAACCCTCACCGAAAGGTAGCTGTCTTTCTAATAAGTAAACATACTTTTATTGTGGTTCATCTTTTTCTAGTACAATGAACAATAGGCAACTTGGAAAAAGAAAATGTATGATGCTACGATAAGCGTTACAATATAAGTAAACAATTAATTCATAATATTCTTTCTTTTTTATTCAAATTATATCATCAATTAATATTCACTTGTATTGTAACATCAAAGTACCACATGATCGTATTTTAGTACTACATGATAATTTGTTCGCCTAAAACACATTTGAAGGTTGGGTGCATTTATCATCAACTCAGTCGGTGCTCAAAAAGCTCACATCATAATAAATAAATAAAGGGATAATTTGATATAGATCCAATTTTGTGAGTCATTACTATAATTAGTCCATTGCATTGAAATAGGTTCAATAATTGATATTCCACGTAAGCATATTTATAATTTGTACCTATTTATCCTTAAACTTATAAATTGTAGTAAATGTTCAAAATTTCTTATTATATCATTATTTGTGATTTCTAATCCCTTAATTGTAGGATTAGTTATAGCAATAAATCTCAACCCCAAGTCCGTTTCATCCCTCCTTTTTTTTCCTTCTTCTAAACAATTTCCTTTGTTAGATCATGGAATCAATCATCCTCTTTCTTCTATCATATTTCATGGGTGATATTTTGTGTTCCTCCCTCCAAATTCTTTCATGACAATTTCAGTTTTTACATAGCTTTCACAATTTTTTTACATATTCGTTCGGCAATACAGTATCAATTGCAAGCAATAATACAGTATCATGCTTTTATATTTGCTCTATTATATTTTTGTGCGTATCATAAAGGTAAACTAAAACTTAGTATTTGTTCCTTTTTTTTTGTTTAGTATTTGTTCCTTTAATAGAGGTATATTATATCATATTTCTATTCTAATGTTTTGCCATGGAGGTTCAACATTTTTCTTCCTATACAATAGGTAGTTTATTTTTATTTTGTTGGTAGATTATATCTGTTTTGTAGGTATAAAACATTTTTCTTCCTATACAATAGGTAGTTTATTTTGTTTTGTAGGTAGATTACATCTGTTTTGTTGGTATAAAGTATTTTTCTTCCTATACAATAGGTAGTTACTAAATTACATCGGTTTTGTAGGTAAACATCATTAGGTGGTTACTAGATAATATTTTAGTTAGTATTTAAATATTCAAAATTAAAAACTGAATAAATGATACAAAAATTAAAGAATTTAAATATTTTTATCTAAAATGGCAAAATTGGTATAAAAATATGTAATTGGATAACTGGACTTAGTTAAAAAATTACCTTTGTTTTTGAACCTAGATCGAAAAGCCCCATAAATAAATACGAAGTTCATTTATATATTAATGCATTCGTGATCCTCGTTTCACTTAAAGCTAATTGGACTTGGGCATGTATACATACAACCACCTTCATTCATGGTTTCATTCAATTGCACCGAAGAACATCTCAACAGTCACACTCACGTCAAATTAAGACTTCAAACATTTCTTGCACATATGCCTTTCCTTTCCATACACAAGAGTTCGTTCGGTCATGTAACTATGATCTTGTTTGAAAGTATTTTTAAAATGACTAAAAATGCATTCGTTTAAAATATTTTTAAAATCAATTATTAGTAAATATTTAAGTGAATTCTGAAAAAACATTTGAAATGCTTCCTGCAAAAAACACATATACGGTGCTTCTTTCAAAAAGTACTTAAAAATATTTTCGGAAACCAACATCAATTTCATCAAACACAATTTCAATCATTTTAAAATATTTCAAAACGAGCCATATATAAGCCCATGCTCACACGTATCAAATAAGAAACTCAAATTGTAATTTTCCGAGGAAAAAAAAAACAAATAATATCTAACACATTTCTAAAACAACAAACCGAAATTTCTATTGAATGTGCAACTAAAAAATCCAACACCAACCGATTAAGAATGCTAATGTATAATACATCGGTGCATACTAGAAAAAAATCAACCACCAACGTTTCATATTACTATAGTCTTCACTACAAATCAAAAAACCAAAAAAAAATATACAATTTCCGAATCTTCGCCTACTATGTATACGCCCCCACGTAACGTACCAATACAGACCATCGTAGACCTTCCACAAAAGCCCTTTATCCTAGGTCCTGAACACGTGTTATCTACCCAACAATTCGGGTAAATCTCCGTTTTGACCGCCGTAAAATCCCGTGCCTCAACGGGCCCATACAAAATAACACACTGTCGCAATTCATCCTCTTCCCCGATCACATGCTTGGAGCTGGTACGGATTCGGTACAGAGCGCCTCCGTGATTCGTGAGGCACCGTCAGCTATCAGAGAACAATGACGAGTGACGGTACAGATCATAGGGGGCCCACAAGCTATCCAACGGACACGGCCGCTTGGAGTCCAATCTCAGCCACGGCTTCCCCTTCCCGCTCCAGTGCAGGAGGCTTACCGGGCCCGGGTGGAGGTCCCTACACAGCCCCTCCACGTTGTCACCGCCGAGGCCGTGCTGGTTCCACCTGTGCTCCACCCCCTCCACGTCACCCGCGAACACCAGTAGAAACGGCGGCAGCGAGCCCAGCTCGTAGATACGACACCGTTTCTGCACCCGCATCCAGTGCTCCAGCTTCTGCGTGTACTTGCCCTCCCTCCACTTCCACAGATCGATCACCATCACCCCGGTGTTGAAGTAGCACGCCCTCCGCCCCTTGAATTCCGCCGCGAACGCCGCGTTCGACCAGAATTTCGGGGTGAAGTAGTTGGTGAAATTGGCGTGGCAGTACTCCGGCGCCCCCAGCACGCGCCGCCCGAGGTCGATCCGCCACAGCTTCGCCACGTCGTCGACGACAATGAGGTCGGAGTCGAAGTAGATGATGCGGCGGACGCCCGAGGGGAGGAGATCGGCGAGGTAGATGCGCGCATAGTTGAGGGGCTGGTCGAGGGCGCGGCGGACGGAGTAGGAGATCTTGCCCCTGACGAGGCTGGAGTCGAAGTGGTAGACGTGGAAGGTGAGGTAGGGGAAGGTGGAAGTGATGGCGTGGCGGAGGAGGTCGGAGGAGCGGCGGTTGCGGTGGGAGGCAGCGATGAAGTGGAAGACGATGTTTTCGGGGCAAGTGGCGTGCTGGAGGACGGAGAAGACGCCGGCAACGGAGCCCCGGAGGTAGGTAGCGTCCAATGTCATGGCGATGTGGATGATGGAGGGGTCGTAGTGGGAGTGCTGGTCCAGCGAGGACCATGCGGTGCGGGGGCATCCTCGTCCGTTGCGGAATGCAGGTGCTTCTCGGAACTTAGGAAGCTCAACGGCGGCGGAATTCACCAGGAATTGTACGGTCCCGGTCGCGAAGAGGGCGGCGAGGAGGAGGAGGAGGAGGAGGGGGAGAGGACCATGGCCCGGTGGCATGGTCTCGTTGCCGTGGGGAGTTTTGAACTTTTGAACGAAGAAATTGGGAGTGTAGGGTTTGCTTTACCTTTAGAATTGGAGGAGAGAGAAGGGATGTTATGTTAGGGTGTGATATGGTGGGGGTAATATGGGTATTTTGGTAGTGGAGTTGTGGGACCCGGGAATGGAGTGTGGGAGAGATGATGCTATGCAGCTAGGGGAGAAATAGAATAAGAATGGAATGAGGAGAAGAGGGAGAGGCGAAGCCAGGCTGGAAAGACGCGTCCCTTTGTTTGTGTTGTCGACGTAGGACTCTGATTCTAAAGGAGGTGTGGGGACAATAGGCCATTTTGTGGAACGAGGATCCTCCAATCACAATTGTTCATCATATATTATGTAGTTAAAAATTATTATAAATTTTACTTGAAATTAAATACAAAGTATATCTGATAAAAACTGACCACACGATATATGATAAACAGATGTGATTTAAGGACCTTTAAAATCCTCACAAAAAAAATCAGATGAAAATCCTCTCCCATCTTGTGGTGGTTGTGGACTTGATGGCTTCACCACGGTCATTCTATGAATCCTACGAAAGGAGGAGTACGGCCTAAGTAGTGTCGTCGTTCAAATAAATTACGTGAGAACGTAACCATCCAACTCAAAATTAATCGCAATAGTTTAAATGACCCATTATTATTTGAGGGACCATTTTACTTTTTTACACATCTACATTTCATCATCTCTAATATTTTGTTTTAATTTATTTAATTTAAAAGCTAAAAATAACAAATCAATTGGGTAACAAGAGGGAAAATGTATATGATTATGATTTCCTCCATTAAAACTAGATAAATATTAAGAAGATTCTCTCAAAAGTGAAACTCTTTATAGACTTTCTGACATCTCATCTATTTGGCACAATTCTTGTGCCAACGTTATAAAACATTGTATTAAAAATTAAGATGACGGATAATCTATAGAGAGTTCCACTTTGAGAAAATCTCTTTAGCGTTTCTCCTTAAACTATTAGGTGAAACAAGGCTTTAATTCCCTTACATAGAATTTAGTATCAACAAATTATTTCCATTTATGAAAAGAACTTAAAGCTCGTTTACAACTCTATATGTAGGAAGCACTTTGTGCATAAGCGCTTTAATGTATTATAAACTCACAAACGTCTTTATTAGATGTGTGACAAGAACTTAAGGGCGAATTGTTTTTTTAATAAGCATATCACATGTGCTTATTATGAAAGTGTTTCTATAGCCTAGAAGCATTTTGATTTTTTCTGTGCCACATACAATCAAAAGCATTTTTGTATGCTTTTGATTGTTAAAAAACTCATTTAACCATTTCAAATGCAATCTAAACATACCCTTAAAATAATAAAATTTTCATACCACATATTTAAAGTATCATTTATATTATCCTTCTAATAAAAGACCCGTTTGAATTGGCGGACCCTTACTCGAAAATATACCAATAAAAACTTGAAGAGACTGAATGAACGGATGAATGTGCATTAATCCAATCCCAAATTTTTGTGGTGACGGTAAAATGTTATTAAATGCTTCTGGAATTCGGACGAGCTACTCTGACGTTGGCAATTAATTATGGCGATGGATAGATATGAGTGAGGGTAATTGAGTAAAAAAAAAAGCAAACAGTTGCTGCATATGCGCGGGCTCCTTTTATCGGATATTTTTGGAAGACTTACGATATTCAAGTGATACTCCAAACGTTATAATGTAGATGAACAAAATAATATATTTTTCATTTTCCTGCAATTATTTTGTAATATGTAAAGTATCCGCTTGAATATTAAGCACTTTAGAAAATATATCCCTCTCGTACTACTATCAACTCAACTGAATCTGAGATTGAATCAGTGCAACTTTATAATTTTTGACCTGAATTCATAAGAACATCTTCAATTAAAGATGCAAAATGTGTTGAAATTGAAATTTTATATTTTGATTTGGCCGGAAAACACTCCTATGACTGGATGTAAAACATTCATGATCCCCGAAAGATGTAAATAAAAATGCAAATTTGCATATTTTTTACATCTTTTAGAGGTGGGCTACGCCTGTCAAATAGAGAACAATAAGTGAAGTCCCTAATTTTCATATCTTTCATTGGAGTAGAACTAACATTTACACCTCCCGAAAATATAAAATAACATGTTAACATGGCGCTTTTACATCTCAAATTTGTTTTTCTCCGTTAAAGATGCTCTAAGTACATAAAATGGGTTGAACCAGCACGCTCGTTTTCTCTTTTGTATTTCTCCTCATGTTTTAGGAAGCATTTTCACTCACCACCCTCAATAATAGTCACCATCACACTTATTATTATTATATGAGTTTAAAATTCGAAATATATATAATGAAAAGACACAAATCTTTAAATATTGTATATAAAATATGCCGATGAATTATATATATTGATATACAGCTGGTGATCGATGAGGGACCTTGCTAGTCAGAAGTTTTGTTTTTGCTGCTCCGCTTGCTAGAACATCTATAATACCAACTTAGCCAGTGTGCATTATTATTCATCGGTTTTGTTTCTACGGAAGTTAACGTGTACTTGTGTTTGTATTTGCCAATTATTCAATTTTCAGACAAATACTTGGGAAATTTTTTCGAGTGTTTGTAAATTTACTAATTTTACCATCTTCGTATCGTCGCTTCATTGTTTTTCTTTTTGGGTAATTAAATTGAAAAAGCATTTTAACCAAAATGGTGTCTTGTAGGGATGACAACAGTTCGGTTTAGGGACAGAAATGCTCTATCCATTTCCATAATCACGAAAAATTAACTATATTTATAACCGCAAATTAACCATCAGAGATTATCCATAACCGCATCTACGAGGTAACAGATTTCTCATCGGTTAACGGTTATTTTCATCTTAGTTAAAAACAAAAAATTATATAATTCATCTAATTGACGCACAATAATTTAGTAGATACTAATTTTATCATTACGTAACCATGTCTAATAATAAGAAACATAACAATGAATGAATTTTGTAGAGTATAAAATAAGAGTATTGAATAAAGAATTGATGATGTTGGCTGTTGATCTGTTGATATCTCCCATAAGCATGATGTTTGGTGTGTAATGAATATAGGGTTTGATGCATAACAAATATAGTATAAGGTTTCGTGAATACTATTATATTATATACTAAATATATTATGGGGTGAATAATGAATATCGTAATAATAGTATAGGTGCACTCAAATAAATAAATAAATATATATCTATACTATTATTTAGAGAATCATCCTTGTCGACTTTTTGCCACATTTTTTTCAATTTTGCCCTCACTTTTGATAGCACAAGACTTACATAAGAAGGGAAAAATAGTAATTTTGTATCTTTTGAGAAAAAGACAATCGTATCCCTAATTTTCCTATTTTACCCTCACTTTTGATACACAATATTTACATAAGGAGGATACAACAGTAATTATGTAATATTAAGATAAAATATGCATTTATTAAGAGAAATTGTTCCACCATCATTTTTTCATACTCTTTTTAAAATTTAAAAACTAAAAAAAACAAAAAATAAAATGAAATTGTTCACACACACAAAGTGTGTGCTCATTGGCTAGTATATATTATATTATATATAAATTATATTCATATAATATATATTTATTTGGTTCAGATTCGGGGATGGATACGGATAGAGATTCCTATACCCATATCCAAAACCATAACCGAATAAAGTTCACGATTTTTCCCCATATCCACAATATACTCGAATTTTCATACCCAAATCCGCTTCATTCGGACGATTATCGGGTTTAATGGTTTGAATTGACATCCCTAGTGTCTTGGAATAACTCTTTACTTTAGTCCTTAAAATTTAAAATTGATAGAAATGATTCTTGAGTTTGTCAAGGTTCTATCGGGCTGGGGCCTAGCGCTTAAGCGGCTGGACGGCTAGACGGAGTTTAGGCGGGCGCCTAGGCTGATTAGACGGATTTAAGTAAATCTATTATATTTCCTATAAATAAGTGTCTACTTATACTTAAAATATATATAATTTCATCATAAACTAAAAAATAGAATGACATATATATTATATATAAATTATATTCATATAATATATATTTATTTGGTTCGGATTCGGGGACGGATACGGATAGGAGATTCCTATACCCGTATCCAAAATCATAACCGAATACAATTCACAATTTTTCCCCATATCCATAATATACCCGAATTTTCATACTCAAATCCGCTTCATTCAGACGGTTATCAGTTTAATGGTTTGAATTGCTATCCCTAGTGTCTTGGAAGAACTCTTCACTTTAGTTCTTGAAATTTGAAATTGATAGAATTGATTTGTGAGTTTGTCAAGGTTCTATCGGGCTGGGGCCTAGCGCCTAAGCTGACTAGATTGATTTAAGTAAATCTATTATATTTCCTATAAATAAGTGCCTACTTATACTTAAAATATATATAATTTCATCATAAACTATAAAATAGAATGACATATATATTATGAAGTATTTGAACATAATGAAAATACGAGGAACAAGTATACAATGTGTGTTTATTTAAGTATGCAACAAGTCTCTTACAATTTATTGAAAAATAAAATGCAAAATGAAAGTGATCTATTTTTTGTCTAAGTGAGCCGTGACCTAGGCGGGTTTGGGTAGACTAGGTGGGTCTCTAGGCAGGCTAGGTGGGTCTCTAGGCAGGCTAGGCAGGTCTCTAAACGATATAGGTGGGTGCCTCAATAGGTATATGAGCCATTTCTTAATTTTTAAACGCCTAAACATTAATCGGGGCAATGGCTAGCAGCCTAGCGCTTAGACGGAGATTTTTAGAACAGTGAAGTTTATCCAACATAAATTATTTTGATCATTATGTGAAAAACCTATTAAGTAAGGATCAAAATGCCAAAAATGCCCTAATTGGACCAAAATAATTTGACAAAAATTGAGAGTTTTTTGTTGTTGTTGTTGTCATTTAGGTCTTATTTAACGTAGATTTTTTGCATAATGATCAAACTGTTGATGGTGAACAAATTCAGAGATCATTTTAGGGGTGTTTTGATACATATGCTTAGCTTT